TCACATGTCTCTCCTGCATGTGCCCACTCCCCCACAGGCCTGCGTGGTGCTCGATAAGCAGCAGGCCCAGGGAGAGAGACCTGGAAGGTCACCGTGAAGGTGAGACGAGGAGGACACTAGGAACCAGGTGATGGATGTCAGCTCTGCCCCATGGGAGGGGGACAGAGGGGAGACTCTGGGCACCTGGGGACCTGTGGGCCAGCTGGTGCTTGGGAGTGAATGAGGGGTGCTGAGCCCCATGTACCCCTGCCAGCCCCTGGCATCGCTGGCCCCATCCTTCACCCCTGCCATCCACACTTGCCCTGTGTCTCTGAAGCTCCCCCATAGTGGAGTCTAATTCACTGCCCTGTGACTGTGGGTTCAGCCATGTGACTCACTTTGGCCGAGGGGATGTTCATGGGGCATGTGGTCCCCTGAGCTGAGAGAGCTGTGGTGACTGGGCTACTGTCCTGTGTTGCTGTCAACAGTGAGAGTGGCTCCTGCCCAGGCTAGCGTGTTGGTCAGGAGGAGGATGAGGGAGTGGGGGGCAGAGCCTAGCAGCCTGGCTTGGACCAGCCAACCAAATGCTGACTCTACTGCTTAGATCATGTTTGTGTTTGTTACACAGCAGTATCTAGCTGATACATGGTCCCAGCAACAGAAAAGTAAGCCCAGAGGTAGCTAAATGACACTTCCAAGGCTACACAACCCCTCCTACTGGGAGCTGTATAAGAAATGGCCACCGAAACCCTCTATCCTGGCAGCTAAGGGCTGAAAGGGAGACCTAGTTTTCCTGTTGTCCACCTCCTCGATGTCTAGGTAGGACTCTACAATATCTTGATTTTTTAATGTTGACAATTGTGGTCAGCTGAAAAATCCACCCCCCTCCCCACAAAAACATATCAGGTCCAATTTCCTGGAATCCATGAAGGTGACCGTATTTGGAAATAGAGTCTCTGCAGATGTATGGAATTAAGGGTCTCAAGGTGAGATCTTTCTGGACTAGCACAGGCCCTAAATCCAATGGGAAGTGTCCATATATAAGAGGGAGACAGAGGGAGGTTACACTGAGAAAATGAAGACGGAGGCAGAAATGGGAGTGATGTGGCCATGAGCCAAGGACACCTGGAGCCACCGAAAGCTGGAAGAGGCAGTGAGGGCTTGTGCCCTAGGTTCCCCGGAGGGTGCTCAGCCTGCCGACCCCTTGATTTCAGCCCAGGGACACGGATCTCCGACTTTTGGCCTCCAGGACTGGGAGAGCATAAACTTGTGTGTTTTAAGCCACCCAGTCTGTGGGACTTTGTTACCTCAGAAAACAAATACAACAGTGTATTCAACACTGTGAAGTGCACTGTGCCAGTCGGACAATGTCTGAGGCTGGGCTGGCCTGTGGTCTGCAGCGTTGGCCCCTTCTGAGCCCCCTGAGGGAGCCCCTGCCTGCCCCATGCTAGGGTCTCAATGCATCCAGCCCAATCTCTGCCAAGGTCACAGCCCCTCCCTCATGCACCTCAGCCATGCTTGAGGTGAAGAGCCGAAGCTGTGTCCTCAGGCCGCTGAGGGGTATCCCTGGGATGGCTGTGGTTTCAGGGGCAGGGACAGCTCAGGGGCCCAGCAGGGATTACCGGGTGTTGTCCTTGTCCCTGCCACGCCCTCCCAGCTGGCCCAGCTGGCTCCCCGTGCCTGGCTCAGGGTCGAGGGGCCAGCAGCAGGGAGGTCAGTATCTTGGACAGCACCCTGCAGCCCACTGAGCCGAGGAGGGCAGTGTGTGTGTGCTTGTGTGTTTGCATGAGGGCATGTGTGTGCGTGTGCACATGTGTGAGTGACTGGGGGGTGCAGGGTCCCGCAGCTGGCTGGACCACTCCTCTTTCGTCTGCCCTGCGGGTGGATTTGTCAACACCTGGCTGGGCGGCCAACGCCATGGGCCAGTGGCTCTGCCTAGCACAGGCCTGTGAACTGACCTCTGAATCCTCCTGGGACAGAGGAGTGACAGCGACCCCCATTCTGTGAAAGGACCCAAGAGAAGGCCTCTGGGCTTCCCTGAAAAGGGCCCCAAGCTGGATTTTTCAGGTCGTTTGCCAGGCCCTGGCCTCTAGGCCTGTAAGCCCTGTGCCATGAAGCTGGGAGGGGGGTGCTTTGCAGATCAGCTGACCCCCTACCTGGACCTCACCCTGGGAGTCTGATTATAAGGAGTGTCACCCCCAGGACTCCTGTCCCAGGCCCACAGCAGTTGCCTAATTGTGAATGTAATTAGCTACTTGCACCCTCAAAATTGGCAAGTGGCTAATTGTGCGGTAATTATCAACTGCACCCGTAATTAACCATGTGAGTGATTTTTTATTATGCAAGTCATTGTGCCCCAGCAAAAGGAGTGTGGGGCCGGGGTTGGGGGAAGGGAGAGGGTGGGAGGGAGGCCCAGGGCTGAGGGGGAGGAGAGGGGTGAGGGTAGGAGGGAGGTCCCAGGGCTGGGGGTGGGAAGGGAGTACCACCGTGTGCCCAGCCCTTTAGTCTGCCCTGGGGGGAGCCGAGACTGGGCTCCCAGCGCCACCCTTGTTTTTACAGGGGAGGCAGTGAAGGGCCTCGAAGAGCCTCTCCCCTCTGAGGAGTGCAGGCTGAGCTGGGCCTGGCTTCAGGCCTGGAGCCGGGGCAGCCAAGGCTGTGTCTCTGAGGAGCCTCCAGCAACTCTGAGGCCAGAGCTCTGTGGAGTGAGGGAAATGCCTGGGCTGTTCTGCCGGTTCTGCATCCTGGGAGGCCCCCAGGGCCACAGGGAGACCTGAGTTCAAACCCTGCTCATGCTGGGGGACTGCCCTTCTCTGAGCCTCAGTTTCCTCATCTGTAAAGTGGGGGTGACCATAGCTGATTCTGTGGGACCTGGAGTAAGCCCCTGGGACAGGTGGTGCTGTTTGTGTGATATAGCTAACTTAAGTTGGAACCTGTATACTGCCATCTTATAAAAGACAAAAATGTTTCCATTCTCCTCAAGGACTGCTAACCTTGGTTTCTGTAAATTGCTAGATCATTTGCAGGATGCAAAGAGAGGTAAAGCTGCATACCTTCTCTTATCTGCCAGAATTGCTGGCCTTTGTTTCCCAGAGTAAGCACCCCCAGATCATTCCATCCTGGCGCCAAGCAACTGAAAATCTATGGATCCCACCGCTACCCAGACGATGTGTAAATGAATGCTAATCTTAGCATCTGTGAACCCTTAAATAACAATCAGAATGTCAAATAGTCCCCTGGCCCTTGAAATGTCCGGAACCCCCTCACCCTCCTCTCCACCCAGAAGGTGATTTGAATCCACTGGCCCTCGGAATGTCTGAAGCCCCTCACCCTCGTCTTAGCCTGGGAGGTGATTGACAGCTTTCATTCCCATCTCCACTCCCACTCCCAAGGTGGTTTTGCGGGTATAAAAAGGTCTTGTTTCTTTTCATTCGGGGCCACAGGTTGGAGAGACGTGAGTCCTCCATGGTCGCTGGCAATAAACCCTGCAATTTGGCATACTTTTGTTCTGGTGTTGACTTTCTGTGCTAAGTTCAATGCAACATTTGTGCCTGTCTTCTCCATCTGAGGGGGCTTCCTGGGCACCCTGGATACCCTGGATGGGCATGGAGTGCCTGTGAGCCTCTGTGTGGGAGCCTCCGCCACAAGGCATTGTGCAGGGAAGCCTCCAGAGCTCACATCCCTTCTCCTAGAGAGGACTAGGCCTGAACATGGCCCCCAGAGCTGCTCTTTGGGGACCAGCGGTGACAGCCTCAGCTGGGAGGGCCCGGGGAATGCTGGACCATGTGCCCACCGTACAGAGGGCCCAGCTCACTGCCAAGGTAAGCACCACCGAGGGGTACAGCACTGCTGCATGGCCTGTGCTGACTCTGAGGGGCCACTGAGATGGTGTGCCACCATCCCCTGATGCCTAGGTCTCCAGCAGGGTGCTTCCTCCGGCCACTGACATGTTTGGATGCACACCCTCTGCAGCCACAGCCACATCAACAGATAGAACCACCAAGCTCCGGAGTGCATCCATGGATGCCAGGTGCCGCCTGCATCTCTCCCTCCATGTGCTGCATGTATGTGCATGAGTGCGTGTGTGCACATGGGCATTGCGTGCATGTGCATGTACAGCAGGTGTGCAGGTGTGCCCGTGTGTGCAAGCATACACCTGTGCACACGCGTTCTGTGTGCCCCCGCCACAGGGGGAGGAGTCTACAGGGCTGAGGGGCCATGTGCTCATCCCTCCAGACACCTCTGGGCACCAGGACCCTGGAACTCCTCCCAAAATGCTTTGATCCCCCTCTCTGTCCTGCTCAGGCCTCTTCTGCAGGAGCATTTCCATGAGGTGGATGTATCCCGAGGACCGAGGGGTACTGTTTGTGGGGGGCTTAGATGAAGCTGACATGCTGGTTGGGGCATCCACATGCCTACACACAGCCCCCTGGGACATCGGACAAAGCCGGAGGTGGGAAGACAGGGAGGTGGGAAGAGAGGGAGGGAGGTGGGAAGAGAGGGAGGGAGGTGGGAAGAGAGGGAGGGAGGTGGGAAGAGAGAGAGGCGGGAAGAGAGGGAGGGAAGTGGGAAGAGAGGGAGGGAGGTGGGAAGAGAGGGAGGGAGGTGGGAAGAGCCCTGGGCCCAGGCCAGCTCCTTCCTTGCTGCCACTTATAGCATCAAACTCCCAGGAGTCTGAGAATTCCAAATTGATCTGGGTGTTCCATGGAGTCTGGGAGTTATAGCTGCCGAGATAAGAGGGAATGTGACTTTGCTTGTTAGCTTCACGTATACCTTCTAAACCCTTTAAATCACTGAGGCAGGTGGCATGTGGGCCCCACAGGTGTGAGGAGTGGCCCGGCTTCATTCGTTCTGTTTTTCGTCAGCCTAGAACAGTGCCTCAGGGAGCTCAGGGAGCATTGGCTGTGCAGATGGATCCCACCGTGGCCACCACCTCCCCCATGTGCCTGCACCTGGTGTCCCAGAGCGCAGCCTGCTTCTCAAATGTGTGGAAGAAAACCAAGCCAGGGTGAGGCCGCCTATGAAAAAGGGGGACTTTATTTAGTCTCTGGAGCAGCGCCCCCGCCCACCCGTGCACAGCCGCTCCGCAAGGCTCTAATCAGTTAGGACCAAGACTGTCTGGCACTAGAAACAGAAACATCAATTCTCTCCCCTTTTTTTTTCCTTTTTTTTTTTTTTGGTACAAAATGATACAAACAACAATACAAAATAGTTGTGCTGTTGACGATTACAAAAAAAGGTGGAAGGTTTGACCTCTCGATGCTCAGAGCTGCAAGTGTGAGTACGTCATACCCCAGTATCTTTCCCCAAAACAACCGTGGTCATGCGGGCTGCTACACATTTTCTCCATTTTCAAAAAGAAACATGCAAAAAAAAAAAAAAAGGAGAATGAAGAAAGGAGAGAAAAGAAAAGGAAAACACGTTCCAATTGTACAGAGAGCTGGTCCCCGCTGGGCCTGCGGCGCGGTGCTGTTCCTCCCACGGACCCACGGTGCCTGGAGCTGGGTCACGTACTGCTCTGCGTCCAGGAGATTGTGTGTTGATTCTTTTGGTGTTACTCCTTTGAGCACTGGCAGAAATTGAGACTTCCCCTCACCCGGCTTTTTGCTTTGGAGAGAACAGAACCATAATCTCAGTGGACCATGTGTCGGCGGGTGCTCATGCAAGGGAAACTGAGGCATCTGAGCACTGGACCATTGTTGGCTGTCGCTCTGACTCAAGGCCAAAGCTGTTCAGAAAAGGCATGGTCTTAACCACGGGGCAGGGCCAGAGGCTGAGGAGGGGCAGAGCCCCAGTGGAGCTCATGCTGTTCCCACAGGTGGAGGCCTCCATTTTGGATGTGCCGAAAGACTAGAAAGAGACACCTCCTGGGCCAGAAGCTGGGGCTGCCCAGGCCCTGAAGAGCACTGTGGCCCTGGCTGGGGGCTGCCCGCCGACCAAGGCCAGGCGCTCCTGCCTCTACACCTGGCAACATAGGTTCCCCCATTGGCAGAACAAAAATTGCCTAAAGGAACCAAACCACGCCCGGGTGCTCTGCCAGCATCGGCCGCCCGGCCTCCAGCGGGTCCCCTGATTACAGACAGTCGTATCTACAAGCTAAGGAAGAGAGAGGTTCAACACTGATTGTATGCTTAGCTAATGCTAACTCAAGTCAGAGGTGGAGCTGGGAAGGTGCAGGAACCCCATCTTTCTCTGGCCCGCAGGGGCTCACTGGCATGGGGTAAAGGGGAAGCTGTCCAGCTGTCTGGAAACAGGGATGGCATGGGAAGCCCCACAAATGTCTCTCCAGCTGGCACTGCAGCTTCAGCCTGCGTGATTTGGGCAAAAGGAACGGGGGCTTGGCAGTGATTTGAGGCTGCGGGGGAGGAGGGGAGCCAGCACCGGCGTTGCCCAGCCCTCCTGGGTAGTGCGGCGGGGCTGGTGGGACTAGGGTCTTCTGGTGCTGGGTCCTGGGAACGCCAGCCCAGGGTTCAGGGAACCCAAGGAGGCCTGGAAATTTCAGCAAAAGGAGTTCATGCTGCCCTGGCTGCTGGTTATATTCACACTTAGACCAATCCACTCACACCCTCAGGACTGGAGGATGGACTTCCCCAAACAACAGCGATGCCCAGTCCCTCCACCAGCCTCAGTAGCCGTCCTTCTGACACCATGTCGCAGACACTCAGGGGCATTCTTCTTTGCATAGCACAGCTCAGAACTGGGGGACCCCAGTGCAGTCTGGTCGGCTGCCCCTTGACCTTTGTCCATCTCCTGGACTGGCTGTCTGCAGAGGGGGCGCCCAGCATGTGGCACAGTGAACCCTGCCCTCCCTAGGCAGCCATGGGAGGGCCGGATCAGACAGAGCCGGGAGACTGGGACCCCAGCTCAACTCTGGAGGCTGCACAGGGGTGGCTGTGAGTTTGGTTTGGGCAAGGACCCTGACGTCCAATGGGAACATGCCATGAGCATGGCAGAGACGTGCGCACTCAAGGCCAAAGCTGTTCAGAAAAGGCATGGTCTTAACCACGGGGCAGGGCCAGAGGCTGAGGAGGGGCAGAGCCCCAGTGGAGCTCATGCTGTTCCCACAGGCACCCCGAGGCATTCCCTGACCCCAGCAGCAGGTGTTGGGCAGGGGTCCCGGAGGGCTCCCTGTCCTTCCCCAGCACTGGGACCACCTTACCCAACACCAGGTCATGCCCAGGGCCCCTGGTACTTCACCTCCCTCCTCAGGAAGCCAGTTGTCAGTGGCCTGGGGAGAGACAGAAAGCTGAGCAAGCGCAAGGCTTCCCCACCTGGACCTGCCCCCTGCCCCAGCCCGAGGTGCCTGTGTGCCCAAAAATAGCCATGCCGGGAGAGAGAATGCGCCTGTGAGCTTGCTCATGCTGTGATGAACACAGGTGGCCTAGGGCTCTCTGGGGGTCCTGGGACACAGCCCCTTTCACTGCCCTGCAGAACCAACCTGCCCCCCTGTGTGGCTTCAGTCCACCCCACCCTGGAAACAGCAGTTGCCAGCCCTGAGGACTGCCTGCCCCCGACATGGGTCCATAGGAGAGGTGGGGCACTGTCTGTGGTAGGCAGAGGTGTCTGTGGGGCAGATGGGCACAGCAAGACGGGGTCTGCTGCCACCCACACAGGCTCACTGGCGTCTGGTGGGAATCAGGAGCACAGTGGCTGGGGACGGGGAGGCTGCCTCAGTCTGTTGGGTATAGTTCTGGTCACCATGCCCACCTGTGACTGCCCTCTCCAGGTGCCAGGGAGGGTCCTCCGTCCCTGCCGTCTACACAGTCCCCAGGGTGGTTGGAGCTGTCGAGAGCATCCTGGGGTTTGAATTGATTCGTGTCAAGGGGCCTTTGATGGTACCCCATGTGGTCTGGTCACAAAGGCCAGAGGGCTCTGGCCAGGGTTCTGCAGGACACTGGCTGGTTTGGACAACTCACTCTTCTGGACCAAAAGCGGAGGGAACCTGGTGGCACTCAGGGTGGCAGGAGGCCCTGAGGGAGGCCTGGGTTGACTGGGGGTGGAGCCCTGGGGGCGGCCAAGGGCAGAGATGGGGAGCACCCAGGATGACCCCTGGGACCCCCACCCGCTGGAGCTCCTCACAGCATTCCAGAGGGTGGGGATGGGGAGCAGCCACAGGCAGGGGAGTAGTGCCAGCCACACAGGCCCCAGGGCTTGGCCTCCCAGGGCTTTCTGCTGCTGGCCTTGACTCCCAAAGGGCCCAAGAGACCCCCAACTATGTACAGCAAAGGCTGCTGGGATTTGAACCCCACTCTGGGATTTGAAACTCTGGTTTCAAACAAGTCACCCACTTACTTTTTCTTAATAAAAGACCAAAATAAAAGAAAGACACAGTCTCCCCATTTCTGAATGATGCCTCCCAAGCCGAGACTAGCTGGGGTCGGAGGCCGCTGGGGACGGGAAGGTGGGACGGGCTGTCTGCTTGCTTTAGTCACTCCTGAGTTTGAGGGAATCTGATACATGTACCAAAAGGCACTTTCATTTTTTTTTAAACAGTGCTTCTGTTCTAGGAAATTCAAGTGAAGACAGAGTGCCTCTTGCTCTCCTCAGTGCCAGCTGGCCACGGTGCTGGGCAGCAGCCAGTGCAGGGCGCCGCAGGGGTGGGTGCTTGTGCCAGACAGCTCAGCGTGGGGGTGGGGGCCTCCTAACAGCACTAAGGACACGCGCAGGGAGAGTCCTGCTCAGTCCTCCTCCGGCGTCCGCGTGCGGCTCTCACTTCGGTCCGAGGATGTGAGGTCAGTTAATCCTCTTCGCCGCCTCCATACATGTCCGCCAGCTTCTTGAATCTGGGCCCCCAGTCGTTGAGGTAATCGTAGTCTTGGTCCCCGGAGCTGGACGAGTTCAGGGAGCTGACTGAGCCTGCGGTGGAGCCGCTCCCTTCATAGTCGAAGACCAGAAGGGAGTCGTAGGGGGGCGCTGTGGGGTCGTTGTCAGCGGCTCGGAGTCCCTGGGGGTCACAGACAGGGGGGTTAGGGTGTGGGGCGAGCTGTCTCAGTCCCAGGACCTGACTGAGGAGAGCAGGGCTCAGCTGAGGAGGAGGAAGGTGGGACACTGTATACAGTAGGTGTCCAATAAGTGCTCTCTGGGTGTAACTGAAGGGCATGTCTGAGTAGGAAAGGGCATTTGTGAAGACGGAGTGTGGGAGTGTTGGAGGGGAACTCAAATTCAGCAGCAGCCTGGGGGCAGGGGAGGGGAGGGCTGGGGGGGGCCTGTGGCTGGAGTTCAGCTCCTCCCAAGCCCAAGGCAGGGGAGGGGGATGTGGGGGAGGGGAAGGGAGGTGGCAGGGATGTGGGGGGAAGGTGAGGGGGGTATGGGGGTGAGGGAGGTGGGGGGAAAGGGGGTGTTGGGGAGGGTGAGGAGGTGTGAGGGGAAGGTGAGGGGGTGTGAGGGAGGGTGAGAGAGCTGTGGGGGTTGTGGGGGGAACGTGAGGGGGGTGTGGAGGAGGATGAGGGAGGTTTGGGGGGGAAGTAGGGGTTGTGGGGGAATGTGAGGAGGTGGGGGTTTGGGGGAGGGTGAGGGAGGTGTGGGGGAAGACGGGGGTGTGGGGGAAGGTGAAAGAGGTGTGGTGGAGGGTGAAGGGGTGTGGTGGAGAGGGGTTATGAGGCAGGGTGAAGGAGGTGTAGGGGGAGGTGGGGTGTGGGGGATGGTGAGGGGGTATGGGGGAGTTGGGATGTGGGGGGGGTGAATGGGTATGTGGGGGGGTGTGGGGTGTGGGGGATGGTGAGAGGGTGTTGGGGGAGGTGGGGGGCATGGAGGAAGGTGTGAGGGAAGGCGAGGGGATATGGGAGAGGGTCAAGGGTGATGTGGGGCAGGTGAGGGGCTGGGCCCTGTGGCTGGAGTTCAGCTCCTCCTAAGAGGTCAGATAGTTCTCCAGTCCAGTGGACTCTTATCTGGAGGGAATGTGGACCTAGGGTGGGCCGTTATGAGCTCGGCACTCCCATGGACAAGCTTTGGCAGTGCGATGGATATTGCTGGAGCCCCACCCTCTGCTCAGTGCCTGTGGGTGCCACCTCCAGGCCAGCACCTGCTCCTCCTGTGGCCCTAGGAGAGGGTACTCAGCATCATTCCGTACCGACTGGTTTGTTGTTCTCATTTTTAATTTCTCCTAAGAGCTATCTATCTAACAGTGGCCTTTATTTACTGATTTATTTTTAAAGTTTTTTGAAATGGAGTCTTGCTTTGTCACTCAGGCTGGAGTACAGTGTCTCGATCTTGGCTCACTGTAACCTCAGCTGCCCATGTTCAAGAGATTCTCCTGCCTCACCCTCCCAAGTAGCTGGGATTACAGGTGTCTGCCACTATGCCTGGCTAATTTTTGTATTTCTAGTAGAGATGGGGTTTCACCATGTTGGCCAGGCTGGTCTTGAACTCCTGACCTCGGGTGATCCACCTGCCTTGGCCTCCCAAAGTGCTGGGAGTACAGGTGTGAGCCTCCATGCCCAGCCTAACAGTGGGCTTTAAATTATAGATTGGGCCGGGCATGCTTTGGGTCTTTACATTTGTATTCCGTCATAGACAGTAAGCGTCGTCGGCTCCCTCGTGGGCAGTCGTAGGAATTTCGTTTGTGGCCAGGAACACAATCTGCTTTGGGGAAACCTTTTTGTCTCTCTGCTGAATCATTGCCTGGGTTAGCTTCTGTTTAAATCAACTCCTTTAAAGTGAGATTCTGACCAAGGCTGAGATCTAAGTGTTGCTAAACCCCCTTTATAACGCAACTGGCATTGGAGAGCAGGTGGTGAAACCACAGGGGCTCACGTGGCTGGAGCAGGGATGGAGGACACAGTGATCCCTGCAGGGTGGCAGGCAAGGCCAGCCTGGAGCCTCAGAGTCACGGTCGGAGAATGCTCCCCAGGGGATTCTGCCCGTTGGCTTCACTACAAAGGAAGACGGGAGTGAAGGCAGGGGGTGCACATTTGGAAACTGAATGTCCCTGGCGACATTGTAAGAGATGTCTCAAATGTGTCTTTCAAAGGGGAAGATCGAAGTCTGGGGCATGCTGTTCATTGGCCCAGTCCCTTCAAGCCCTCGAATGTCAGGTTGGGCACATGGTCAGGCAGGTGGTCAGAAGGCAGCTCCTGCAGGCGGCCACCTCTGTGTGTTCCCACCTGCTGTGTCCTGATGGTGTGGGGTGTGGGGAAAGGGGTTGAGGGGAGGGTTGTGGAGGAAGAGTGGGGAGGGAGGGCAAGTTGGCCTGGGCCCTGAGACCAGGCTTGGGCCTGTGCCTGTCTAAGCACCTGGGTGGGCCAAACCCAGGATGATGGGCTATGTGTAAGTCAGTGCCTGGGGGGCTCTGCTGCTGCCCCCCACCCCCCGCTGCTCCTTCCTTGCTGCTGGTGCTTCTTCTGCAAACCCGAATTCTTATGAAGCCCCTGCCGAGCACCCAGCCCTGCATGTTGATCCTTCACCTGGCTCACAGGTAGGAATCTTTGTCCTTGGAAAGAGGGGCTGCTGAGGGAGGTGATTCACCCAGGCTGCCCAGCGGGAGTGGCGGGGCAGGCCTGGAACCCACGTCTGAGCTGCCTTGCTGGAGACAGCTTCTGTCTGTGTGTGCTACTAGCATTTATTTTTGGAGGAGACACCTTGCCTGGGACCCCCCCACTGCCGAGGGCACACACCTCGTTGATGAATTCACCGATGTCGCCTGGGTGTGGCACCACGGGCCTGACTGGGTACTGGGGCTCAGCGCCCACCGGCCGCTCATCCACACGACGCACACCGGGGGCTTTGCTTGGCACGTGCCCCATGGCTTCTGGCTGCTGTAGCTGGCTGAGGTCATAGTCCTGGGGGAGGGAGCCGGGGGAGTCAGGGCACCAGAAGAATCCGCCAAGCCCCCCTTCCAGCCTGCACCTCGCTTCCAGCCCACACCCTGATCTGTGACCGGGGCCACAGATGTGCCTGCTGCCCTGTGCCCTGGTCTCCAGACACCCCACAGTCACAAGCTGTCCCCTGCTGTGCCCTCCCGCAGTGCTCCACTTCCTCACCCTTCACCCCAATCCCTCTGGCAGGGATGGGGTCTGTGCCTGGCTTCCTTCAATGGCCTGGGGCTCACTCCGAGTGACCCCACCACCACGTTGCTCACCGACCACGGACCCCGAGTGCTCAGGTGGCCAGGAGCTGGGCCTCCGCAAGGCACATTCCTCATGCTTGTTATGGCCGTATTGTGTGAGGGGCGGGGAGGGGTCTGAGCTTTAGAGGGGCTAAGGATTTGCCCCAATTCCCCCAAAGGCTGGGGCAGACCCAGATTCCAACCAGCAGCTCTTATAGCGTACCCTCTTGGACGTCTGGTGCACTGCCCCTGGTCACTCACAGCCCCCTGTGCACAGCAGCATCGGGAGAGTGGGCATCGGTGTCCTTGGCCAACCCAGAGCCCCCTCTTATGCGGGCACAGGTCAGCACTGGGCTGGGGTCGGCAGCGGGAGGGAGGGAGGCGAGTAATGGAGGGGTCCCAGGATCCCCCCAGGGGATGCAGGTGCAGCCCAGGCCAGACCTGCAAACGTGGGCAGGGGAACCAGGCTGGGAAACTGGACTCCCCTGCCTGGTGCCTTCATTGGTGAAAAAGGCTGAAATGTCCTACCATTTTTTTTTGGTTTGTTTTTTGAGACCGAATCTTGCTCTGTCACCCAGGCTGGAGTGCAATGGCGTGATCTTGGCTCACTGCAACCTCTGCCTCCCAAGTTCAAGTGATTCTCCTGCCTCAGCCTTCTGAGTAGCTGGGATTATAGGTGTGTGCCACCCTGCTGGCTAAATTTTGTATTTTTAGTAGAGATGGGGTTTCACCATGTTGGTCAGGCTAATCTTATGCTCCTGACCTCGTGATCTGCCTTCCTTGGCCTCCCAAAGTGCTGGGATTCCAGGCATGAGGCACCACACCCGGCCATGTCTTACTCTTAAAACCTGAGAGCAAGCCCTGCTGAGACACTGGTGCTCATGAGAGCTGGCCTCCTGTGGGGAGGCCTCACCTGGTCCTCCTCACCGCCGCCTTCCTCGTCATACTTGAGGATGTTGTCACGCACGTCGTCCTCGGGGTCAATGAGTAGCTGCTTGGTGTGGCGCTCCTTCTCCCGCCGCTTCATCCACACGACAAACAGCAGGACCATGGCTGTCGGGGGAGGGCCGGGCGTGAGCAGGGAGTGCAGGTGTGCTGCATGTGCGCACACACATGCCTCCGTGTCTGTGTGGGCATGTACATGCAGGTAGCACAGAAGCATGACTCCGTGTGTCCGGGTGTGCATGTCCACCTGTATTGCACATGCACATGTGTCTATGCACGTGCAGGCCTGGGTGTGCAAGGACACATCTGTGCATATGTGTAGCCCACGTGCATTCGCGGATGCAGATGTTCCATACATGTCTGTGTAAGCATGCATACGTGTATGCACAGGAGTATGTGCGACTGAATGCGTACACGTGTGTGCCTGTGGGTGAGCGTGTAGATCTGTATATATGTGTGCTCATGTGTTCATGCGTGTACATGCACACGGAAGTCTGCACGTCTGTGTGTGCATGTCTGTGCGTGTGTCTTCATGTGTGTGTGCTCATGCATACAGGTGTGTGAGTGTGAATGCACGTCTGCTCACGTGCCTGTGCGTGTGTGCATGCCTGGGTGTGCCTCTGAGTTTCCATTCAGAGCCGTGCTGGCTCAGGCCCCTCTCCAGCTCACTGCCTGGGCACTGGTCTAGATTTTGAGACACTGATTTACATACTTGTCCTCCTCCTGCACTCCCCTTTTGAGGAGGCCGAGGCCATCAGCTCAGGGTGCCCCTCACCTCCTGGGGGCAGGAGGACATGGGGAGCTGAGGGACCTACCCACAAGTCTTTCTGCGTCCCTCTTCTGAGTGGCAGGAGGGGAGGCGGTTTTGACAGAGGAGGTGGAAGTGAGGTTTTAGGTACACAGTGCTTGGCAGGAATCACTGAGTGAGGGAGGTGGATTCTCCCATACTGAAAGAGGCTCTGCCCTGGGAGGGGTCAGGGAAGGAGCGGGGCCCAGAGCGGGGATCCAGGATCCTGCTTCCTGAGGGCCCGTGGGGTGGGGTCAGTCCAGGGCTTTGCTGGATAGAAGGACAGCCACACCCAGTACCAAGGGAGTCACTCAGTGGGGCTCTTTCCATCACCCAAAGGAACTGGGGTGCAGGCTCAGAAGTTCAGGTACAGGTGGAAACTGAAGAGAGGCAAAGCCTCTTTGTGGGGTGGATGGAGGGACCCTCTCCCTGAAGCTGAACTGGCCTCCCCGCCACCCTCCAAGGTCCGTGTCCTGGCCTGGCTCTCCTAAATGACCTTGCTCACTCTGGACCCCTGGCTACCCCTACTGCAGGGACAGCCTGGGCACCCATCTGCAAGCCTCCCTCTTTGTCCATTGTCTGTGCATTCACTTCTTAGTTTCACAGGGTGGGTGATGCACCCAGCATGGGCTCCAGGACAGGCAATGCGGCACACGTCTCCAGATGCCTGCAGAAAGCACCCCGCTGCATCCTCCCAAAGCCTCTTGGCAACTCCCACGTCACATGTAACAACAGAGGCCCAGAAGTCACAGGTGTGCTCCTGTATACTGCAGAGGGTCAACCCAGAGGCGGGAGGGGACGGCCGGCCACCCCCAGTCAGAAGGGCCGTCCCTTGCCAACCTGCTTAACTGGCTGTGGCTGCCTGGGTGCCGTGAGAAGGCTTCCGAAGCTGAGACTAGGTTTGGGAGGAGCTCTATGGGTACTGGCAGCATCCCTGCTGACTGCAGAGCGTGAGGTGACAGCTGGGGGATGCTTCCTGGCCTGGCCCAGATCGCGGAGAGGGAACTGCAGGCAGAGGAAGGAGAAACCCACTGCAGGTGCAGCTTGGTGAGAACCGGGAACCTGGAGCCTGGGCCTGGTCTTGGCTCAACAGAAGCCACAATGCCAAGAAGCACACAGCCGGCACCCCAGGCTTGTCCAGGAGGGCAAGATAAGCGAGGCTTGAGGGGAGGAGTATGGAGGAGCGGAGGCCACCCGGATGCCCCCCATGTACCCGACCAGGGCTGAGGTGCTCACGACTGGGCAGAAGCCAGGCAGCAGGTGGGTCTGCTGTTGACCCGGCCCTGGCCTCACTGTGGCTGCCCTTGAGAGTGCCTGGGTCTCCTGCCAGCAACAGGACCCAGCTGAGTCATGTCTCACAGCGTGGCCCAGAGGAGGTGCTCTGGCTGGGGCCTGGCCCCTGTGTCTTCGGAGCAGGAGACAAGGGTAAGAATGCCCCATCTTTGTTACAGAGACACCTCCCAACCTCTGTGGGGCTCTTTCTACTCCAGATCATACAAAGGACCCCATTACATTGAATGGCTTTCAAAACAAGCCTCAGAAATAAAAAAACAGCTTTTTGAGGGGGGATGGGAAATGAGAAAAAAAGCAGAGCCCTCATAACTCAAATGTCATTTGGATGGGGCTCATGGTCCCTGGGGTCTGAAGTCAGCCACAGGCCAGGTCTGCAGGAGGGCCTACTGCCTGCTCCAGCCTGTTCTGGATGTGGTGGGGGACCCTCTGGTTTGGGTGTGAACTGGGGAGGTGGTGGCTGAACCCTTCCCTGCCCTGCCTCCCACTGGGGTCCGTGGGCTATCACAGACCAGGGCAACTGTCCATGAGGGATAATGGGAAGAAGGACCTCTGGGGTCATTTTCAAGCACCTCCCCTGGGGCCCCCCAACAACCCTCACTCCTACTGAAGAAGCCACATGGTTCTGGGAAACTCTGAAAACTACTGGAGCATGTGATCTGGGCAGAGCCAATGAGAACACCCCATTCCTTGGCTGGTGATTGGCTCCAAGGTGTGCATGTGACCCAAGCTAGTCCAATCAGAGTGTCCTGGGACTTTGGATGGGGATGCTGATAGGCAGGCTGACCTTTCTCGTGCTAAGTCCACCTGTGAGCTGCCTGCAGGCATCGCAGGCCCTGGAGGAGAGCAGCTTCAGGACATGGCTCTGGGAGGCAGAGTGGAGCCGTGGAAAGGGGCCAAGCCATGGAAGATGCCTGGACCTCCGGTTTTGACAGTAACGGGAGGCTCCAATTTACTACTGTCATATGGGCCAGTTCAGCTGCATTTCTGAAAGGCTCCTGGCAGATGGGGCTGAGTGATGCAGGCTGAGGGGCAAACGTGGGCCCCCCTTTGCCCACCATCCCTGGGTCAGGGTGCTCATACCCGTAGTGCCCCACCCGCCTTGGTGCTCAGGCACACTCACTCAGCAGGATGAGGATGCAGATGAGGATGGCCACGATGGCACCAGTGCCCAGACCAGCCGCTGCCACTGCGCCAATGGTGGTGCAGTCCCCGTTGTCATCACATGGACACACCTTGACTTTGATGATAGATGTGTTGGACAGGGGAGGGTTTCCAGAGTCCGTGACAATGATGGGGACGTCATACATCCCGGCCTCCAGGTACAGGATGCGCAAGCTGAGTTGGGCATAGTCACCTGGCGCAAAGCAAGAGTAAGTGTTCAGCCTGAGCCCGGCTCTCCCTTCCAAGCAAGATGGCGAAAGGAAAAGAGTAAGTCTGATGGCTTGGAAACTGGACATGTCTGCCTGGTTACTGCACGCACACACACACTGTGCTACACCATTAAGTCAAAAGACATTGGAAGTCGGGCGTGGTGGCTCACGCCTGTAATCCCAGTACTTTGGGAGGCTGAGGTGGGCAGATCACTTGAGGTCAGGAGTTCACGACCAGACTGGTCAACATCATGAAACCCTGTCTCTACTTAAAAATACAAAAATTAGCCAGGTGTGTGGTGAGAGCCTGTGATCCCAGCTACCTGGGAGGCTGAGGTGGGAGAATTGCTTGAACCTGGGAGGTGGAGGTTGCAGAGCTGAGATTGGGCCACTGCACTCCAGCCTGGGCAATAGAACAAGACTCCATCTCAAAAAAAAAAAAAAAAAAAAAAGACATTGGAGACACAACCAAAAAGCAATTGCAACATGTAGGATGAATAAATAATTTCCTAAATATATAAAGAGTTTTACCAAATGAATAAAAAGAAACCCTCCAAAGAAAACATAGGCAAAGTCATTGAACAGACAATTCACAGAAGAAACAAAAATGGTCAATAAATAGATAAAAAAATTTCCACTGGTAGTCAAAATATACAGATGGAAACAATGCCTTTGGCCATAAAATTGGCAGAATAAAATACTATTTTAAAACAATTATATTCAGTGTTGGTGGGGTTTGTGGAAACAGGTCCTCTCCCAATGGAAGGGAACATGTCTAGAGCACCTTTTCACTGTGCTGCCAAAACTGCGGAATTTTGATATCCTTTTATACCAAAAATTGACACCCAAGCAAGTATTTTAAGGAAACATATCGGTTATGGTGTAGCCAGCTGATCACTGGCACAGGAAGCTGTCATGGGTGCACAGGAGCGGGGCTGCAAGGATGTCCACGGCTGGGCTCTGTAAAGCAGCAAGAACTTGGTTTTGACTCGGGGGCCTCTTCGGGGCCAGGTGAAGAAGGCTGAGCAGCCGAAGCGAGGCTGGTGTCCCCAGCCTTGGCAGGACAGTCCCCCTGGAGGGCTGTCGCCCCCCTCTGGTGCTCACTCTTCCAAGGCCAGCTGGGTCCCCCAGGGGCCTGCACCCTAGACTAGTTTGACTCTCCCCGTGGCCCAGGACAGGCTCACCATTTAGGCGGGTGATAGTCCAGTTCTTCCGCACGGCCGCCGGGATGAAAGGCAGCTCGAAGACATAGGGGCCAATGTTGGGGTCGACGTCGGCGTCGGCCGCCGTGATGTTGATGGCGTTCAGGTTGGGCTTCTCACAGATTTGCGCCTCCTTGGGCAGCAGCTCAGGTGCGTTGTCATTGATGTCGATGAGATAGATCTGGAGGGTCCCGGTGCCGCTGGCCGGGGGTATCCCTGTGGAACAGACACAGGTCAGCATTTGGCGGTCCTGGTACTCCGTGACCAATCTGACATTCCACACGGGACATGCACAGGGACATATGCACAGTCCCTCAGCCGGACACAGCGCTGGCCACCTGCCCCACAGCTGCACAGGGACTGACCCATAGCCCAGCCATGGCCCCTGACTGACACCCTGCCACATGCCCTGGGGAGCCAGGGAGGAATTCTGAGGGTGCTGGGCTCTGCACCGGCCCCCAGGGCTGGGACCCGCCCACCACATCTTACCCTCATCTGGGACTACTTGGGGAAAAATCTTTCCTTGCCTTCCTGCGTTTTGCTGACCCTATCCAGCAGAGCCCCAGGCGGCTGAAGTCCTGAGCACAGATGCCTGAACCTAAGGAAGAACTGCTGCTTTTGGAAGTGTCTTTGAGAAAGGCAGGAGGGGCTGGTCCAGATGAGCTTTGATGGAATCTCCCTCCCAGCCCGGCAGGAGGCCTCCTTGGAGGACCCCATCACCTCTGGCCTCAGTGTGGAGGGAGGTGCTCTGCTGAGCCCTCAGAGCTCCTTAGGGGCATCCTGTCTCTGGGGCCCTCACATGCTCAGCCCCTGCCTCTGCCCAGTCCAGCAGTGCTGGTGGGTAGCAGCTGTACAGCTCCACGGCCCGGCCTCTGTGGACCCCAGGGGTGCGGCAATGGCTGGGGAGGCTGGCGGGGCGGTGGCCACATCCTAGCTTTCACCTGCTACTGGACGAGCATTTGTGCAATGGCTACTCTTGCTTGTGAGGCTTCATGCTTGGCCATTCCAAGAGCCCACCAGGCGTGGCCCTGCCTTGGGGCCTTTGCACACACGGCTTCCTAACTCTATGACCCTCCTCTCCGCCCACCTTCCCCTTTGCTCCTCTGGTCCTGCAGCTCTTGATCCCAAGGTCAGCTCCTCAGAGCAGAGCCCCTGGTCACTGCCTCCGGCCACCGTTTTCTCCCAGCTCCTCTTGCTTCCTGAATCATCAGCAAGGCTGGTTCCTCTCCGGCCTCCATGGGGCAGCTGCTGTGGAGTCATCCCCAATGCCCATTTCCTGTTTTCCATTCCCAATGCCCATTTCCTGCTTTCTTTTAATGGAGTAATTGGGGTCCTGCATTTTGTCCGGGACCGCCGTTGTCCACCTAGAAGACCCCATTTTCCAGCAACCCAGCAGCTGCGGTGGCCACGTCAGTAATTTCTGTGCTTCGTGAGCTGTGAGGTCTTGCATGGGGCTTCCTGAAAGTCCTTAGTGGAGCAGGTGTGTGCCTGTGCCCTCCCCACGAGGCCTTCTGTTTGTCAGAATGTGGCTGCGATGGCTGGAGCTCCAGCAGCCATTCTGGACCATGCCGTGGCACAGTTGAGGTGCTCTGGGTCTTGGGTCTGCCCCTGGGCTGCCTGCCTCCAGCCTTCCTTGGCGTGAGAGAAAACAAGCCTTGATCGAATTACAGTTTCCTCCATCCCATCAGTATCCACTGACCCAGATTCCAGCCAACACACTCGGGCTGGCAGCCACGCCAGGGCAGGGTGTCCAGGTATTCTGTGCACTGATGAGTGGCTGGAGGTACTTGGCCAGTTCTCAGCGAACAACAGGCTGGGGGCAGTAATCACGGCCACAGGAAACAGGGGCACACACTGCCCTGAGCCAGGCCCTGTCCTCAGTGCTCTGCTAACTTGGAGTCATTTGATTCTCAGGGGTACTAAGACTCTCCGGACTTGGCAGAGGAGGAAACTGAGGCATAGAGTGGTCAGGTCTTTTCCCACTGGTAAGTCGTGGCACTAGGACTGATCTCCAGTCCCAGAATCCCTGCTCCCACCTACCCACTCTGCATCCATGTCTCTAAGAGCATGCGACCCATGGGGGGCTCAGCCAGCTCGAAGGGGCCAGGAAGGGATGGCCACTCCTTGAGAAGCCGGCCCACGCCCCTTGGAGAGCCCTGCGTGCTCTCAAACCTTCTTCCTGCCACCTCTACCCAGCCCGTCCTCGCCCTCCTGCCCAGGCTCCTGAGGTCATCTGCTGTGCTGCCTGCCCCGGGACCTTGCTGCCTCCCTCTCTGGACTCCTAGGGTCCTGGAGGGTCTCTTGACCCCCTGCTGTGACTGAGTGCCACAGGGATCTGTGCTGTGGGTGGTCAGAGATGTGACCAAGGGTTGCTGACCAGTGGGGCTGGGCCTTTCTCGCAGGATGGGGTCTGTGGCAAGAGCTGCTGGCTAAAAGCATTTGAAAACTGTGGACCTGGTTCAAGTGGCTCAGTTCATAGGCAGCAAAACTGAGCAAGGACAGGGCTGGGATGACTGGTGCCCTAATGCCCCTGGTGCCGCAGGTAAGTGACACTAGGGGGATGGACCTGGTGCACCTGCAGGCAAGTGAATGCTGGGGAGGGGATAGGATGGATGAATGAGTGGAAGTGGTGGAATGAATGAGTGGGAGGTGGCAGAATGAATGAATGCTGGACAGGTAGTGGAATGAAGGGGGGGAGGAATGAATGAAGTGGGAGGGAGTTGAATGAATGAAGTGGGAGGGTCAGAATGAATGAATGAGAGGGGCTGGAATGAATGAAGTGGTAGAGGGTGGAATAAATGACTGATATGGGAATGGGTGGAAGGGAAGCATGGTCTGATGGCCCATCCCTGATCACTGCTGTCTGCTCAGACGCCCCCTCAGCCTTTCCAGGTGGCCCTTTGGATGCCTCCTGGGCTCTCGGGGTCTCCCTGGCCAGCGCCCTCCCTCGCCCACTGAACCAGGATGTGGGAAGGACACATCGACATCTGTCCCCAGGGGTGGGCCGCACCATTGTCAGCTGCCAGGAAGGTGGCCTCGTAGACGTTGTTTTTGGTGTAGAGGGACTCACGGTCCAGCACTGCTGCCGTGGTGATCTGGCCATTGGTGGTGTTGACATGCAGCCAGTTTGCTGGGTCTGACAGCTTGGAGTATCTGTGGAGACAGCAAGTGCAGGGGAGGTGAGGTGGGGGCGGGTGGGACTGCCCCGATCCCAGGCCTCCTTGCCCGGATGGGGCGGCTGCACTGGCCACGCCTCCAGGGCTGGGCCTGGGCCAGAGTCTCTGATTCCTTGGAGCCCCCAGGCCTTGTCCTCCTCTGGGGCTTCCCCTCCACCTTGGACTGCACCTCTCACTATAGGACAGGCCACGCAGTGACTATGGACACTGAGCTCATACAGTGGTGGGTGGTCTCAACTCACAGGGACCCTGTGAGCAGACTCCCTTATCATCCCCATCGCACGGACAATGACGCTGAAGAACAGGGAGAGCAGGTGATTAGCCAAGTCTCACGGCCAATGGCTAGTGAGAGCACAGACAGGATCGGGGACAGCCTGCATAGAGACAGTGCTGAATGTAAGCGCCGGCCACCTCCCCGTTCTGGGAATCATCACAATGCTCACAGTTGGTCAGGGGCTGCATCTGGCTGTCTGGGAGTAAGGGGTTGCTGCTCCCTCCTGGAAAGAAGCCTCAGGTCAGGGATGTCCCCAACCACCCATCTGGGGGACTCCTGGGCTGGCTGTGGCTTTCATGGGGAGTTTCTGGACCCTTATGTATGGACCCCGGGGAGCACATCCTGCGGGCCCACCTCACAGCCTGCTGCATGAAGCGGTCAGGGTCCACAGCTGAAAATGTGGTCAGCACAGTGCCGGGGGGCACACCCTCCTCCAGGCGGATCAGCTTGTGGTTTGAGGGGAAGTAGGGGGCCTCATTGATGTCCATGATGGAGATGGTCACCCCTGCTGTGGACTGGAAGGACATCTGGATCCCGCTGGCCAGGGGCGCCTGGTTGGACACCATCACTGTCAGCATGAAGGCTCTGTTGAGCTCGTAGTCGACAGCCTGGAATAACAGATCGGGGTTGGGAGTGACCTGGTGAAGCCCCCGTGGGGGTGGGCACAGGGGCACACGCGGGTAGATTGGTCTCTACCCCTCTCTGATCCATGTCCAGCTCTTCTCAGTGCTGTGTTTTAGCTGTGAGGCCCCAAACTGTTCCATCTCCCAGGCACCCTTATCTTCCATCTTCCTGCTGGGTTTGGCCAATGGGAGGAGAGAGGGAGGGGGTCTAGGCCTCCCAGCCCATCCCATGCTGTGCTGAGGCAGAAACTGGGCTCCTCCTGGGTGGCTGTGGCCCCTGCTAGGCAGCCCCTCTTCCTGGCCTGGGAACCCCATCCCTACCTTCCTCCTTTGAGCCTAGCATGGGGGAGGCTCCTGATGTTGTTGGCCAGGGGGGGCCTCACCAGGTGCAGGGGGTCAAATGGTGGCCTCCAAAAGACATGTCTACCTGGGACCTGTGAATGGGACCTTATTTAGAAAGAGGGTCTTTTGCACATGTAAGTTAAAGACAGAGGCCCTCATAAGAGATAGGCAGGGCTGGGTGACAGAGGCCCTCATAAGACAGGCAGGGCTGGTAACAGAGGCCCTCTTAAGACAGGCAGAGCTGGGTGACAGAGGCCCTCATAAGAGACAGGCAGGGCTGGGTGACAGAGGCCCTCATGAGACAGGCAGGGCTGGTAACAGAGGCCCTCTTAAGACAGGCAGAGCTGGGTGACAGAGGCCCTCATAAGAGACAGGCAGGGCTGGGTGACAGAGGCCCTCATAAGACAGGCAAGGCTGGGTGACAGAGGTCATCCTAAGAGACAGAGGGCTGGGTGACAGATGCCATCCTAAGAGACAGAGGGCTGGGTGACAGAGGCCCTCATGAGACAGGCAGGGCTGGTGACAGAGGCCCTCAGAAGACAGGCAGGGCTGGATGACAGAGGCCCTCATAAGACAGCCAGGGCTGGGTGCAGGAGCTTGAGGCTGCAAGTGCAGTGTGATTGCACCATTGCATTCCAGCCTGGGTGACAGAGAGAGGCTCTCTAAAATTTCAAAACAGGGAGAAAGGGAGAGGGATATTTGAGACACATGAGTGCAGGGAGGAGCCACGTGGCGATGGAGCCATGTGGTGTCTGGAGTGAGGCAGCTACAGGCCAAGGAACAGGAGAGAGGCAGGGGGCGGGTTCTCCTCTAGAACCTCCCAAGGGAGCCGGCCCTTGATTTTACGTCTCTGACTCCCAAAGCTGGGACAGAAGACAGTTCTATGTTGTAACCCACCTGGTTTGTGACAATTTGTTAGCACAGCCCCAGACACCAACACGCCAGGTCTGTGGCTCCCATCACTGCCACATGTGGCCCCTGCTTTCACACAATTCTTTCGTCCCCTTCTGGTGCACCAGGACCCTGGCTGATAAACGCTAGAGTGGGTCTGTAGGCTACAGTTCTGCAGTGATGCTGCATTATCAGAAGAGCTTCGCTCAAGCCTTTCCTACACATTTTGGGGAGGGAGGGAAGTTACATGGGAACAGCTTGGAGTCCTGAGACAGTCAATGGCAAAGCTTGCAATGATTTCACTGGAAAAAAGTCACACCACAACAAATTGCAATTGCATTAGAAAATCCTGCTTAGACACAAGCACAGCAACGTATGCATACGAGTAGTATTTGTGGAGTGTTTCGCTGTGTAGCGTTTGTGGAGTGTTTCGCTGTGTAGCATTTGTGGAGTGTTTCGCTGTGCAGTATTTGTGGAGACAATATGCTGGTACCATCCGGACAGCCATCAGCAATGGCCTGCCACATGGGGAGATGTTTGCAGCTGTAAGGAGGAATGAGGACAAGCTCTGGGGCTGAAGAGGAGCAGTTTCCAGGATCTACTCGTGGGCAGAAAAGCAACCCACATAGTGTGCACCTTTTGTGCAAAAGAGGGAGAAAAATTTGACTTTGTGTATGTATTTGATCATATTTGCAGAAAGAAACTGCAAGGATGGACCAAAAACTAATAAAAATGGTCATTACGATCAGAGGGAAGGAATGGGGTCAAGGGTATAGCTGGGAGTCTGAGTTTTCCATCTATTTCTTATCATACAGCTTTGATTTTCTTTATTATTTTTAGACAGAGTGTCCCTCCATTGCCCAGACTTGAATGCAGTGACGTGATTTTGGCTCACTACAGCCTCCGCCCCCTGGGTTCAAGCGATTCTCCTGCCTCAGCCTCCCCAGTAGCTGGGATTACAGGCACCCACCACCACGCCTGGCTAATTTTTATATTTTTAGTAAAGATGGGGTTTACCCACATTGGCCAGGCTGGTCTTGAACTCCTGACCTCAGGTGATCCGCCAGCCTCAGCCTCCCAAAGTGCTGGGATGACAGGTGTGAGCCACTGGGCCTTGCCCAAAATGTGCGGTTGAGGGAGATGCATTCTGACAGATTTAGGAGTGGAGAAGCATAAGGTCTGGTCATTAAAAAATGTACTCCTGGCAGCAGCATGCCCATCACCATGAGATTTACATGACACGTTGCTTCCGCACAGTCATGCCAGCTCCTCCTACTTCTAGGAATGCCTGGGAACCTTCAGGGTATACAGTGAAACACATTTCCACGTAGAGAGGAACTTATCTGCTGGAGGAACCAGCCAGCTTTCCCCAAGAAGCGCGAGGGCACCAGGCCCCCCACACTGATGTGATCTCCCCACGTTCCTGCCACTCGTGGGCCTCCTGCAGGTACCATCCGGACAGCCATCAGCAAACTGGAAAAGGCCAGTTTGTGGCTGGAGCTTCATAAGCTGAGGGCCATGGGCGAGACGGGAAGGAATCTGGAGTGTTTCACCCACAAGGTGCTGTTGCTCTGAACCCCAGGCTCCATGCTGGGGGCTGGCTGTGAAGCACCTGAGGCTGGACAGATCCAACCCCACCCCATCTCCGGGGCCACCAGTCCCTCAGCATCTGATCTTTCTGAGCAGGTATACTCTTACCTGGTGCGTCACACCCAGGATTCTCAGCATTGCTACTGAATAAGATATTTCTGAACAAAAAGAAGAAACTTAAAAATCACACCAGGAAGGCCAGGTGTGGTGTCATCCCAGCACTTTGGGAGGCTGAGGCAAGAGGATTGCTTTCGCCCAGGAGTTCCAGAGCAGCCTGGGCAGGATAGCGAGATGCCATCTCTACAAAAAAAGAAATGAGCTGGGCGTGGTGGTGCACACCTGTAGTCCCAGATACTCAGGAGGCTGAAGTGGGAAGACTGCTTGAGCCTGGGAGGTGGAGGCTGCAGTGAGCTGTGATTGTACCACTGCACTTTAGCGTGGGCAACAGAGTAAGACTTCGTCTCAAAAAAAAAAAAAAAAAAAAAAAAAAAAAAGCCTAAGCATGAAAGGAAAACTGAGATGCCTGCCTCCAGGAGGGTCTGCACGGAGTGGCAGAGATCACAGTTCTGTTCCTGGGCCCCCACTGTCCCCCACTGCCCCTGGGTGACCTTAGGTGAGCCCTCATCCTCCCCAGAGTGGTCTCCTTGTCCATCTGAAGGAAGGTGTGGTCCCTGCAAGCCTCCCTGACTCCGGACTGAGATGCCTGTGGCTCTGCAATGCACGCTGTCACCTCTCACTGCTGTTTGTGCACAACCCTCACCCTGACTCTGCCACCCCTGGGGCAGGGGCTGTGCCTTGTACCTCTGCCTCCCCAGTGCCCAGCACAGCGCCAGTGTAGATGATCTGTATCCCCTGTGTGCCTGGGAGATGTAGGGGGCTGGGCAACCCCTTCTTCACCACCATTGCCCAGCACCCATCTCGGGGCTGTATGCGCCACACAGGGTCTCACACCCACAGCTGTCACCCTGCAGGACCTTCCACAGCCCAAGCTGACTACAAGCCTGATGGGATGCCAGATCCAGAATAACCCAGTACCTTCCTCTGAAAGGTTCCACCCGGGCCCTCAGGCTCCCCCAGGTCTGGCCCTGCTTCCTCCATCTCTGCATGCCAGATGCCCCTGAGCTCCCAGTACCACCTGCACCCATATCGTATCGGGGTCCCCCCCCAGAGCTGACCATGCTAACGCTGGCAGCTGCTCACCCAGGCCCTCCAGGCGTCGGCTGGGGTGGGGGCCACTCGTGTAGCTAGACTGTTCGATCATGTGGTAGTGGCGGCACTGTCTAGGTCTTTCTCCCATATTTATTGGCTTGTGTCCCCAGGGAGACATGGAACAATGCTGCATGCTATGTGTTAAAAAATCGTGTCACTGCTCTGAGCAAGGAGGCCTTCCAGAAAGACGATTATGGCCAATAAAAGCCCGTAGGAAGGTAAAATAAAACACATTTGTAATGGAGAAATCAATAGGTAATTTGCGCCAGCAGTTTCGATTAGGGTGGCTGGATATACTTGCCGGGCTCAGCATGGCTGCTGCCCACATGTGGCCGTGACCCTTCACTCGGAGATGAGCAGCAGCCCCAGCACCTGCTGGGCAGAGCAGGGAGGGCCAGGCGGGGCGGGCAGGGTTGGGTGGGGGACATACCAGGACGTCTGCCCTGCTCCCTCTGATGGGAGGCTCAGGGCCTATGGCTTCCATGCAAAGTCTCACTCTGTGCCCCTGTCTTGGGAAGAGCTGCCTGAACTGAGGGCACCAGGTCCCCATCACTGACCTGCTCCCCCCCGAATTCCCACCTGCTATCCCTGGAATTCTTGCCACCTGTGAGCCTCCCTCAGGAAGGCCAGTTCTGTGGCTGCCCAAAGCGGAATTTGGAGAGGCTGGTTCTTGGCTTTTGAGCTTTAAAGCTGAGGGCCATGGGCGAGACATGAAAGGACCTGAGATGAGCCTGTGCCTGGGCCTTGCTCCTTTGAGATGAGATTTCGCAGCTGGAGGAGGGAGACAAGAGGCCATGCTGGGCCCTGAGGAGGGTGCGATGGTCACAGATGGCTTATTTGGGTTTGGGGACCCGAGAGCAGAGAAGCTGTGTGCCCACCTCAGGTAGAGGTCCCATTTGTCTATTTTGGCTTTTGTTGCCAATGCTTTTGGTGTTTTAGTCATGAAGTCCTTG